TGCTGTGGAGAGCCGCGGGTGCCCCCGCTGCCGTGTGGCTCTGCTGCGGGCTGCGCTGGCGGGCGAGCTAGCCGTCAGGCTTACGGAGCCGCTGGGTGGTTTGGGACATCTCCCTCAGAGCCACACGTGGGGTGCGCGTGCACATGGCACGGGAGCGTTAGCTGAATGAGGGCAAGTTCAGCTCCACTTTGGGGGCTTTTTCCCCCTTGGCTCGGAGCACGGCGGTGGATGGCTGCAGGTCCTGGGAAGGTTTGGCTGCAGGGTGCTGGGGCCAGGGGCTGTTGGGGCTGAGCAGCCCTAAACAAAGCAGCTCATCCCTTGGGACCTGGGCGACAGCACGGAGTACGGCTGTGCGCCGCGTGTCCCCTGGCCAAGCCTTTGGTCAGGTTTTATTTCTCCGCTCGGTCGAGCGGTGCTGTTCTGAGCACAGCACCCTGCCTGGCTTCCTACGGCCCCTCTGCTCCGGGAGCTGCCCCACGCAGGATATCTCGGAATTATCTGGGGAGGTGAATTACCTTTTCCTTCCCTCCTTTCCATTTTTCATTGCACCTTCCTGGCTCAGCTGCCCTCAGAGCCTGGAAGCTCCATGTTTTATCTCATCCGTGCCATGCACAGCGGAGTCAATCCTGCAGCCAGGGTCAGGCCAGCTCCGGATCTGCGTGGTGCTGCCGGGGGAGGGGTGCAGAGCTGGGTGGGTTGTACCGCACCCCTGTGCCCTCACACCTCGCTGTTCTCTGTTGCAGGGGAAGGAGATGCTGACGCAGAAGCTGCCGCTGTGGCAGCAGTCCTGCTCGGATCCCAACAAGATCCCGGACCGCGCTATACAGCTGATGCAGCAGATGGCTGCCAGCAGCAATGGCACCATTATGCCCAGCCCTCTGTCTACATCCAAATCCAACCTCATCATCTCTGACCCCATCCCTGGTGCCAAACCTCTCCCTGTCCCCCCGGAGCTGGCACCTTTTGTAGGAGTAAGTACCTTTGTGGTGGAAGCTGTCCTGCCCTTCTGAGCAAAGCTGGAGGGACGAGCCCAGGCCAGCGCCACCGTTGCCCTCAGCAAGTTGCCTTTTGATGGAGTGTCGTTGGTGCGCAGGGATGGGCAGCTCCATGCATGGGCCACCCTGGGGTACGGGAAGGAGCTGGGCAAGGAGATGGGCAGTCCATCCTGCCTCATCCTGCCTGGGTTGCTGAGCTCCGGAGGGGCCGGGGCTGCAGGGGCTCCCAGGGGTTTGGGGAACCCGTGAGCTGGCCTCATCTGGCCAGGCTGGTCCTAGAGCTGTGGGGCTGAACCGAGGTACCCCAGTAACCACGGGAGAGGGTGCTTGGAGTGACCCATGGGATGAAAAACCCTTCAGAAAAGGGTTTCCCCCCAGTGTGGGGGCACGAGCTGAGCAGTAGAGCTCAGGAGCGATTTATCAGGTGCGAGGCAGCTTGGAGCAGTAAAACTCTGTAGAGATGACCCCACTGCTCCCCCCAGAGCAGCTTGTCTCGGGTGGGGAACTAAACCCAAGAGGCTGGAGCTCTGGTCTGCTGTGAACCACCTTCCCTGGAGCTGCGTCCCGCTGCGGGAGCTGCGGTGGGATGCCCTAATGAAGACGTTCCCCATCTTCCCCCCCCCTTCCTCTCTCTGTAGCGCATGTCGGCGCAGGAGGCCATGCCGGTGATGAATGGAGTCTCAGGCCCAGACAGTGACGGGTACAACCACTGGTCTGAGATGAAGCCAGCACAGCCCAAATCTTTATCTCCTCCCCAGCCTCAGAAGCAGCTGAGTGACTCTTACTCCAATACACTTCCAGTTCGCAAAAATGTGCCACCGAAAAACAGCTACGCATCAGGTGAGGCTCTGTCCTCCCTGTCCTCTGCTCTGGGGCTCCCGGGGTGCCGCGGTGCCGGCGGTGAGCAGGGATTGCTGGGGGGGCAGCGACCGGCAGTGTGCCTCGGCATCAGCTGCTGCTCGCACCTCTGGACACGGGGCGAGGAGACGAGTGGGGCCAGGCTCTGCCACGGGGTTTGGCTGGGTGGGGGTTCAGCCCATGGATGGCGTTTCTGGGAGAAATCACGAGGAATCTGGCACAGGGAGGCTGTTCCCTTCGCCGGGGCGGTGGCCTGATCCTGCCTGGGATCCTGTCATTAAGGGGGAAGGTGTGAGTCACACCGAAGGTTTTATTGGCACCCGGGGTAAAATAA